ACACACACACACACACACACACACACACACACACACACACACACACATACGCACGTTCTTCTGTTGGTTCCTTGTTGACATGAGGCTTTCACAAATGTCTGTATCCAGATTGTGACTAAATCTACTGTAGCTAGTAGACACAACCAGGCTCGCTGATTTCCCCGTTTCGAGCCTTAATGCTAAGCTAAGCTAACAGGCTGCTGGCTGTAGCTTTATATTTAACAGACAGTTATTACAGTGGTATCGATCTCCTCATCTAATTCTAGCATACTTCCCAAATTGTTAAACTATTGAACTGTGTTCAATTCTGGTGTTCATCCACACGATGGAGGCTACCAGATTAAAAAAAATGAATCTGGATCAACAAAGAAACAAGAAAGAAATCTGTGTTTGACATTCATTTAATACTGTATCATAAATGGGGCATTATTGAGAATTTAAGTAATCAAAGTTAAACCTCTCTTCTATTTCCTCAACAGCTCTCCTCTCTTTTACTTATCACCTCCTCTTTCCTTAACCCAGATAACTGTTCACTGTGTCAGGAAAACACTTCCTTCTCACCATGTGTGTGTGTGTTTGAGCCCTAAGCATTGCTGTTTTTTATAGTCCTATGAGGCCCGCTGTCACTGCTCTGCTCTAATATTATAACGAGACCTCTGGGACGCTGAAACACACAATATACAAGAAAAAGAAACACACACACACACAGCAGAAGATAAAATGAAACCTTTCAGGTCTCTGCGAAGCGATAGCGTCTTTTACAATGAAGGAAGAGGCAGTAAAGGAAGATTGATCTAAATAACAGCGTTACAGCAGGCCATGAGCACGGTTTGCCTCCATCTCTAAGGCTGCTGTCAGCGCGTGGTCCTTTTACCACTGCAACACGACGGGAATCAATATGTCACCTGCACGAGGCTGCAGACACGCCGTCAACGCTGGAGACACTCATAACACTTCATCATGTTAACCAACAAATCGTTCACATCTCATTTCCTGCTTGTTTCCTTGCTGATGAAACACCGAGATGACAAACAGCTGATACCAGCTGCTGTTATTGGTGACATCAACACACGGAGGATGTCTCACCATGACACTGCAGCATCTGTAGCAGGTTGCTTTACTGCAGACCTGATGCTTTTAAAGCGTATGCTAAAACAAAAAGTGAGCAAGAGGCTGGAGATGAAACCACGCCCACTTATGTATGACCAAAGCCTGACAGCTACAGCACGGTTTGATGAATTTACTGTTTATCAGAGACCACAAATGAGACAAGAACCGCCTCACTCCCCGCCGCCGGGAGACTACTTCGCTGTGAGGAGAGCGGGCCGATTCGGCTGTAGCAACTCAAATTCAGCCAGCGCAAACTCTAGCACCTCCGTCTCCGGAGCGTCTGTCTGCTCTCCTCCTGGCTGTACAGACTGCAGATCAATGAGCCTCGGGCTGTAAAGCTACGCTGCAGACGACATGCTTGACTAAGCCCCGCCCCCGCTGCTGCACAGAACATGTATCAACATTTGATCCAAATCGCACCAAATATGACACTGCACATCGTTGGGTCGCCAGCAATACATCCGCCAAGTGTGAAGTTGATCGGATGAATGGTTCCTGAGATATGCGGAGGACAAACAGACACATCTTGCTTTGTCATTAGACACCATTTCCCATGAGCCCGATAGCTTTGCGGGCCAAACAACTAACTAAAAGAGTCAAGTCCATGGAGTCCCGTTCATGAGTCGAGGGGTTACAGTTAGCTCATACCTGTCCGTAATAACAGCAGAACAGAAAGGACTGAAGGCAGAGAAGGTTTAAGACAGCAGAGATTACAACTAAATCAAAAAAATCAACAACTAAGAAGATTACTTTAGAAGAGTGTTGGACGAAACATCTAGAACTGTATCATTTTATTGCTATGCTGGTACACCCCCTAAAAAAGAAGAGAGCATTGGTTAACTTTTACAGATGCATTGACTTTTAAATATTCATGAAAGCTGTAGTTTTACTGTTCTCATCAGACGGCAACCTCACGTTCTGAAAAGCTAATGTGGAAGTGTCTTAAACTTGCATTCTCTCTAGTGTCCAGCAGGGGGCGACTCCTCTGGTTGCATAGAAGTCTATGAGAAAATGACTCTACTTCTCTCTTGATTTATTACCTCAGTAAACATTGTAAACATGAGTTTATGGTCTCAATCTCTAGTTTCAAGTCTTCTTCACTACAGCATGATGTTCATTTTGTAAAGTATGGTCCATTTAGAGTCAAACAGACCATAAAGCAGGGTATACTTTAGGGCGGGGCTACCCCATTGTGATTGACAGGTCTCTACCGCTACTAGAGCCATATATCGGCAAAATTCAAGATGGCGTCGGCCAAATCTTATAAGAATATATTAAGTAAAAGGTTGCAGTGAGTTACAGAAGCTGGTGAAACAGAGGCTCGCCCGGACATGACGTCAAGACTTTGTCTCTATAAACAGAAAGCACATCACCCCTTTAATCAATCTCGCACTCGCACACACACACACACACACACACACACACACACACACACACACACACTAATATGTCCTCAGCTGCTCTGCAGAGACAGCAGGTTGTCTAATTGACTGACTTGATTGGTCTCGTATGCGTCTGCTCACCCGCACAACCTCATTTATTACTGCTGGCACAAAAAAAGAAAAGGAGGAGGGATGACGTGAGGAGATACAGTCTCTTAAACACACTGACAAGCTGACAGTATGTGTGTGAGTGTGTGTGAGTGTGTGTGTGTGTGTGTGTGTGTGAGGAGAGTATAGTGAGCAGGTGGGGAGAGAAAATAGGGAAAAAGATGAGCGTTCAGGAGGAAAGGAAGGAGGCAGGAGGAGGAATAGGGATTAAGGTGTGGAGGTTAGTGTTAATAGAAGGTGGGAGATAGGGGAGAAAGAGAATAAGAAGGGACAGAGGGAGGACAAAGGGAGAGGAATAAAGAGAGGAAGAGGGAGGTAAAAAAATAGTGGGGGAGGATTACAGAGAAAATGCAGATAGAGAGAGAGAAAAAAAGGAGAGAAAAGGATTTCAATTAGTCTGAACACTTGCTGCTCGCTGCTTGTGTCGGTCTGTTCTGATTGACAGCTTATGAAGAGCGTTCTGGGCCTCACCCACTCTCACCCACTCTCTCTCTCTCACCCACTTTCTCCTAAGCCACACAGACAGTGTCTTCAGTGTCTTTCCTGGTAACATTTGCTGACAGAACACGTCGACCTCAACCGCCTTTGTTTCCTTTCTTTTCTGTTTAACCCCTGTTCCTCCTCTCCTCCCTTTCTCATCTTCCACCTACTCTTCTCTTCATCCTCCTCCAACCATTCCCACTTATCTTCCTCCCCCTCGCCTTATAACTTCCCCTCCTCATTCCTTTTGTTTGTCTTCTTCTTCTTCTTTTCCTCCTCACTATCTCGCCCTCCTTTTCTCGCCTTGTCGTCATTTTGCTCCCTACTTGCCATTTATCTTCCACTCTGTCACCGCCCACGTTCCCATCAAAATCTCCTCCTCGTTTTTCAAAACTCGATCTCAGCCAAGTGTTTTTGATGGGATTCGATGTGTCATAGTCACACAAAAAAACAGCACAGACAAAGCAGAATTCACTTAAACTCAACACGTGTCGGTTTGTAATCTCTTGAAGCAGTTTTTGTTCCAAGAAATTTGACAAAAACAGCAATGAAATGTAGGGCGGGTGAAGTTAAGGGAGTCGGGACTGAAACACTAAAGTAAGTAAACCGCAGACATGAAGATCTACGGTCGGATCCTGACTGGAGCAGAGCGATCGATTCAAGCTCTTTGAAATTCAAAGACTTAATAGAACAGATTATTCACGGCCGCCTCAGATCTTAAATCTCATTTCATCTCCTCCGCTTGAAGATGATCTCTCATTTCATTCTGTTTCTTTGCTCCTAATTGTCACTGTGGTTTTCTCTCTCTCTCTTTCTGCGTCTCTCTTTCTAGATGACTTCACTCACTTTCTCTGTTTGCATCCCTCTTCACCTTTTGTCTCTTCATCTCACAAACACACACACACCTGTGTGAGGGGAAACCCCAGGACTGTTCCACCATCTGTAACTGCTCAGCCCTACTGCAGTGTAGTGAACACACACACACACACACACACACAGCGAATGTATACTGTTGCAAATATAAAAGCAAAAAAATAGTGACAGAAGCATCAGCACGCACACACACACAGACACACACACACACACACACACACACACACACACACCCTTTTGCATGTATGTGAGCAGAAACATAATTACATGCACAGACGAACACACAAAACAAACACACACACACACGTTACAGATAGTCACAGATAGCGTTGGATGTGATCAATAGCTATTGATCTGCCACCTTTGGCTTGTCTTGGCAGCGCTTCATGTGAGACATAAAAATGTCCACACCCGCCACAATAGAGACATATGGCACACACACACACACACACACACACACACACACACACGCACACACACACGCACGCACACACACATTCAAGCACATACACAGAAAAACATCTCTTAAAACAAACACACGCCTTATTTCTAAATTATGAACACAAAAAAAATTGATAATTGACACACCTTTAATAACTTCTATCACTGATGTTATTCTAGTTCACTACACACACTCCAACGCCTCACCTTTGTAGCACATGGTTAACCACAGCAGCTCCAGCACCTGACCCCCAAACTCACACACGTCCAATCCCAGCATGGTGCCTCACTGCGGGGCTGAAAACCCGTCGGGGGGAGGGGGAGGTGGAAACCTCCACAGGTAGCAACAAAGTAGCAGAGCAGGGACGGATTAAAAGAGGAGACCATCCACAAAGGTCTTGAATTTGGGGAGGAAAAAAAAAGGGAGGGGGGGGTGAGGTCAGATGAGCATCTCCTCCCTGGAGGAAATTTACAAAAAAAAAATGTAGTTGGAGGGGTGGAAGAGGAAAAGGGCTGGCGTGAGAGAGACGGAGGCAGAGAGGCAGGGAGGGTATCCTTGGGTGTGGGTGTGGATGTGATGGGGATGTGTGTGAGCTACAGAGAGAGAGAGAGAGAGAGAGAGAGAGAGAGAGAGAGAGAGAGAGA